AAACTCAATTAACTTTCTTTTCAAGTGCTCATGACACATTTTTCAGAACTGATCACATATTACGGCACAAAGCAAGCCTCAACAAATTAAAAAACACTGAAATAATACAAAGTATTTTCTCAGGCCACAATGTCATATTACTAGAAATTAACCACAAGAGGATAAAGCTTATAAAACCTCTGAAGTGGACGCTAAAGAACACCCTGCTAGTACAGGATTGGGTTATAGAAGAAATAAAGAATGAAATAAATGGTAATAAAAATACAAAGCACTAAAACCTCTGGGACGCAGCTAAGGCAGTCCTCGGGGCATTTCATAGCAATCAGCAAACATAAGAAAAGAAAGAAAGAAACAAAATTAATGATATAAGTCAATATCTTCATCAAATAGAAAAAGAACAATACTCTAACCCCACAGCATCCAAAAGAAAGAAAATTATAAGAACAGCTGTAATTAATGAGATAGAAAACAGAAAAACAAGAACTAGTTTTTCGAAAGGGTCAGTAAAATTGACGTATCACCAGCAAACTTAACAAAAGGAAAAAAAAAGAAGACACAAATAATTTGATTAAGGAACAATAGAAGTGACATCACAATAGAACCAGAGGAAATGAAATCTATAATACCAGAATATTATGAAAATCTATACTTTGGGCATGTTGCAAGGAGAGACCAGTCCTTAGATAGCAACATGATGCTTGGGAAGGTAGAGGGACAGTGCAAGAGAGGAAGACCCTTGATGAGATGGATTGACTCAGTGACTAGGGTAATGGGGGTGGGTGTGTCAGAGACAAAAAAAGCTGGCTGAGAATATAGTAGGGTTCATAGGGTCGCTGTGAGTCACAGGTGACTTGACGGCACATAACAACAACAATACACTCTGACGAATTTGTAAGTCTAGAGCAAATGGACAAATTCCTTGAAACTCATGGCCTATCCAGACTGACAAGGACAGATATAGAACACTTGAATAGACCCATCACAAAAGAAGAAAGTGAGCACATGATAAAAAAAGTCCAGGACCATATGGCTTCACAGTTGAATTTCCCAAACACTCAGAGAAGATTTATCACCAATTCTACTGAAATTATTTCAAAAAAACAGAAAAAGGAGGAACACTCCCAGAGTTCTTCTATGAAGCATGTATAACCCTAATACTAAAACCAAACATACTACCAAAAAAGAAAATGACAAGAGCAGTATCTCTCATGAATATAGATGCAAAAATCCTTAACAAAATCCTAGCCAACAGAATTCAAAAGCACATTTTAAAAATAAAAATTCATCGTGACCAAGTCAGATTCATAACAGGTATGTAAAGATGATTCAATATTAAGAAAAACAATCAATGTAATTCACCACATTAACAAAGCAAACAATAAAAACCTAGCAAATGATGCAGAGAAGGCATCTGACAAAATCCAACCCCCTTTCTGAGAAAAGACACTCAGCAAAATTGGAACAGAAAGGAATTTCCTTAACATAGTGAAACATACATATGCAAAACCAAGAGCTATTATCATTCTCAATGGAGAAAGACTAAAAGCATTTTCCTTGTGAATAGGGACCAGATGAGGATGCCCACTGTCATCACTTCTGTTCAATATTGTATTGGAATTTCTTCCTAGGACAAAAGACAAGAAAGTGAATGAAAAAGCATCCAGATCCACAAAGAGATGGTTAAACTGTCACTATATGCTGATGATGTGATCGTGTATACAGAAGACCTCAAGGATTCCACAAAAAACTCTTGCAGCTAGTAGATCAATTTAGTAGGGTAGCAGGATAAAAGATCAATATTAAAAAATCAGAGGGATTCATCTACAGTAACGGAACTCAGAGAAGGAAACCAAGAAATTAATACGATTTACAATAGTCAACCATAAATTGAGACACTTGGGAGTGAATTTAACTAGAGATACAAAAGACCTATACAAAGAACTACAGAATATTTCTGCAAGACACAATAAAAGACCTAAAGAAATGAAAAAATGTACCCTGTTCACAGATGTTGTTATGTATCTTCAAGTTGCCTGTAACTCATAGCAACTTCCATGTACAATAGCCCTAAACCGTGCTCTATCCTGTGCCAACACCTACCCCCAGTACCCCAGTCACTGAATCAATCCATCTCATCAAGGGTCTTTCTCTCCTGCACTGTCCCTCCACCTCCCAAGTATGGCGTCATCTCCAAGGACTGGTCCCTCCGTGCAACATGTCCAAAGTATGTCAGATGAAGCTTTAGAATCCTTGCCTCCGCCCCAGTCACTGAGCCGCCGCCGCCGAGGACTCAGCTGCCTCCCCCTCGAGCCCCCTCGCTTCCGTCCCCCCTGCCAGCCTTCTCCCGCCACCGCCTTCCGCAGGCCGTTTCCACCGTATCGTATGTCCACTATCCAGAACCTCCACTCTTTTGACCCCTTTGCTGATGCAAGTAAGGGTGATGACCTGCTTCCTGCTGGGACTGAGGATTATATCCATATAAGAATTCAACAGAGAAATGGCAGGAAGACCCTTACAACTGTCCAAGGGATCGCTGATGATTACGATGAAAAGAAACTAGTGAAGGCGTTTAAGAAGAAGTTTGCATGGAATCCCAAAAATCTCTGTAGATGTTCATTGAAATGAAAAATAAACAACCTAAATTTAAAAAAAACAAAAAAAAAAAGAAGTTTGCCTGCAATGGTACTGTAACTGAACATCCAGAATATGGAGAAGTAATTCAGCTACAGGGTGACCAACGCAAGAACATATGCCAGTTCCTTGTAGAGATTGGACTGGATGAGGATGACCAGCTGAAGGTTCATGGGTTTTAAGTGCCTGTGGCTCACTGAAACTCAAGTGAGGATTTCCTTGCAATGAGTAGAAAATTTCCCTTCTGTCCCTTGTCACAAGTTTAAAACTTCACAGCTTGTATAATGTAACCATTTGGGGTCCACTTTTAACATGGACTAGTGTAACACTTTCACGCAATAAACTGAAAAGAGCCATAAAAAAAAAAGAATCCTTGCCTCCAAGGAGCAAGCCTGGCTTTACCCTCTCCAGGACAAACCTTTTTGTTCTCTTAGCAGTCCATGATATATTCAATACTCTTCTCCAACAACACAGCTCAAAGACATCAACTCTACTTCTATCATCCCTAGTTATTGTCCAGCTCTCTGATGCATAGTAAGTGATTGCAAAGACCATGACCTGTATCAGACGCACAGTAGTCTCCAGACTGACATCATAGCTCTTCAGTACTTTAGAGAGGTCTCTAACCACAGACTTTCCCATCGCAATACTTCTTTTAATTTCCTGGCTGCTGGTGCCAAGAGTATTGATTGTGGAGCCAAGCCAAGTAAAGCTGTGAACAATGTCAATCTCTTCACCATCCATCATGATGCTGCCAATCGGCCCAGTGGTGAGATCTTTGTTTTCTTGATAATGAGCCTCAATCCATACTGAAGGGTGCAGTCCCTGACCTTCTGCAGCAAGTGCTTCAGGTCCTCCTCAGTTTCAGCAAGCAGGGTTGTCATCTGCATAGCGCAGACTGTTGATAAGTGTTCCTCCAATCCTAATGCCACATTTCTCCTCACAGAGCCCAGCCTCCCAGATATTCTGTTCTGCACATAGACTGAAAAAGTATGGAGACAGGACACATCCCTGGTATACGTCCTTCCCAATTTTGAACCATGCAGTGTTTCCCTGCTTTGTTCTGGTCCAAGTATAGGTTTCTCATAAGCACAATCAAGTGTTCTGGGATTCTCATTCTTTTCAGAGTCAGCCACAGTTTGATATGATCCACACAAACACCTTTGCATAATCAATGAAACACAGATAGACATTCCTCTGGTACTCTCTGCTTTCAGCCAAGATCCATCTAACATTCACTACAATATCCCTAAAGTCACGACCCCTTCTAAACCCAGCCTGGACTTCTGGCAGTTCTCTGCTGATGTGCTGTTCCAGTTGTTTTTGGATAATCTTCAGCAGAATCTTGCTTGCATGTGATATTAATGATATTGCTCAATAAGTTCCACTCTGTCAGATTACCTTTCTTTGTAATGAGAACAAATACAGAAGACTCAATATTGTGAAAATGACAATCCTACCAAGAACAATCTACATGTTCAATGCAATCTCAATACAGATAACAAATTCATCTCTCAGGGAGACTGAAATAGAAACTGTCAAGTTTATTTGGAGAAGAAAGAGACCTGGAATAAGCAAAGTTCTTCCGAAAACCAAAAATGAAGGGGGAGGCATAGCAATCAGGCACATAGATCAATGGAACAGAATCAAGAACCCAGGAATGGACCTCTCTTTCTATGGTCAACTGATATTTGACAAGGAAATAAAAACCTATCAAATGTGGAAATGACAACCTCTTCAACAAATGGTGCTGGCTACCTGCAGAAATAAATAGGACTGCTACCTGCAGAAAACTGAAACAGGATCCACATCTCACACCATACACAAAAATCAACCCAAGTTGGATCAGAGTCTTAAGAGTAAAGCTCAAAACCAAGTTCACAAGAGACAAGCTAGCACCAAGCTTAGAAGACCCAGTCTATGGTATAAAGAAATTTAAAAATACAGGTAGAAATGCACAATCTGGAGAAGATAAAATTGATGAATGGGACCTTGTAAAGAGTCTGTGTTCACCAAGAACCTTTTCCAACAAGGTGAAAAGGAAACCTACCAATTGGGAGAAAACATTTGGTAATACCATCTCAGACAAAGTTATAATAATAAAATTTACAAACTACTACTGAGCCGCCAGAAGAAAAAGACTGATAACCTCCACAGAAGAAAGATGGGCAACCTTTGTGATTTACAGCCTTTGAAAAACCTGCTGGAGGGTCAGCTCTGAATTAGTTATGACTCAGCTGTACTTAATAGCAACAACAAAATAGGTGGAGAGTTTATAACTAATGAAATTATTTTATCTGTAAAAATCTGTGCTATTAAATAGATATAAAATCTGTACTATGAGAAAAATCTCTATTAAAAAAACATACCTGAGAAGCTGATTTTTGTTAATACTTATAGAAGCCTCTGGGATTAAATTTTTCCATTTAACACTTGAAAGTTCAATGGATTTCAGCACAGAAATGCCTTCTTTTAAAGAAGATTTCATCCAAGACGCTCTTTCATATCGCTTTTGGGATACACAGCCAGCTTCCTTATATCCTAGGAGAGGGAGAGATAATATAATGAAAGAAGTCCTAAAGAAGAATAAAACAGGTTGCAAGACTCCACAGAGAACAAATTACCTCGGAAGGTAAGCCGCCTGTCGGCATTATCAGGGCGCAGTGACAAACGGAATTCCACACGGCTGGTAAACATGCGGTATGGTTCACTGGCACCCAGTGTGGTGAGGTCATCAATCAAGACGCCTATGTAGCCTTCTGTTCGGCTAACGATAAAAGGAGGCTTTTGACTGACTCGAAGACTGGCGTTGATCCCAGCTATCACACCCTACAAGAGCACTGAAATGTTTAAAAGGCCATTATAAAACGATCAAAAAGCTAGTCAACTCAGAACACGAGCTGCATGCAGCAATAAAAAGTAGTCCCTGCCCAAAGGATGTAAGAGAGAGAGGAAATATAATCCAGGCTACAAAACAGAGTATGGGTAACAGACTGCTTTAAAACAAACAGGCCCACGGCTATGGAGTGGATTCTGACTTAGAGCAACCCTCCATTGGGTTTCCCAGGCTGTAAAATCTTTACGGAGAGAGACTGCCCATCTCTTTCCCTCACAGTGGCTAGTGGATTTGAAGCACTGACCTTTTGGTTAGCAGTGCAACATGTAATATACCATCCCACTTAGGAAAAACCAGAAAGCTTCCCACCTCTTATGTCAGTTCTTCATAATATGTAGATCTGATATATTTTAAGTTAATTCCAAAACCTTCAAAGTTAACTAATAGCCACATCTGTAGTGGGCTGAGTTCCCTGGAAAGCAGACTGTGGTTGTGTTAAAAGTTCAGGAAGGGAGCTCTGGTGGCCTAGTGGCAAGAAGCTGTGCTGCAATCCTGAAGGTATGTGGTTCAAATCCACCTGATGCTCCACTGGAGGAGGGACATTCTCCTCTTGTGACAGTCTGATCTGATTCAATGGCACATAAGATGTGGGGAGGGGAGTTCAGCAAGTGCATGACTGCTCTGGGGATCAATGGCTCTAAGTGAGAACAGCAGACAACAGGACTGAGCAGAGTGAAGAAGTAAGCTGCAAGTGTAGGCTCAACAGAGACATCAGCTAACCTGGCCCTAGCTGTTGACCTAAGTTTGGGTAAGTGGATTGGACATTCATAACCAACATCAATCAGTCACAAGATGTGGGCCATCTTTGAAAGGGATACAGCCATGGTCAAAGTGACTCTCTTTAGTTGATGCAATCTCAAAAGGTGGTTGATGAGAAGGAAAGAAAACCAACATTGTATGGTAGAGATATTCTATTCAACCCTAATTATTGCAGGATTTGGGGAGTGGCTTGGAAGACAGTTAGGCATCTCTCTTAAGAGTGCTATAATTAATTGTTTTAGAAATATATAATATTCTTGATAAGCCTAGGTAGCACAATTTTATTTTTAGAAAATCTATTTGCAATACTCCTCTAGTCTTTTCTCATTTATAAGTAAAAATAAACATATTTGGAACATATTTGGAAGAAATAAAAATGAGATAATCTTCAATAAAGTTATAAAAAAGGGTAAAATTAATTTTTAAAATTTCAGATGCAATGCAGTAAATCTAACCAAAATACTATAGAAGATTTACAAGTTAGGAATCAAATAATAAAACCAGACATTTTAAGGTTCTATTATATATGATAGCCATTTCCATTTATGTTGAAACTAATACTCTTTAATTCTAGTTATCAGTACATCTAAGATCTATATTGTTAATATGTTAAAAGGTGGGAGAAGGTATATATCGGCCAATCTCCTCCTGTGCAATTTACTGCCTTGAAAACCCACTGGAGGGTCAGCTATGGTTCGGTTCCAACTCATTGATACACAACAACAACCACCCGTAAACAGTCCCCTTCTGTTTACATTAACATCTGAATAGTTTCTTACTTGGGCAGCAGCTTCCTCATAGCCAGTGGTACCATTTATTTGTCCAGCAAAGAAAAGCCGTTGAACCAAATGAGTCTCAAGGGAAGGAGTGATCTGTCGGGGGTCAAAGTAATCATACTGAACACCATAACCTGACCAAAACAAAAAAGGATTTAAAAATAAGGAATGGAGCTAAAGGTAGAGAGATGCAAAGATTACCATTAAGTGCTCTTCAAAATCACTTTTATGTTACGAAAAGAAAATATTTTTTCCTTTTTTAAAAAAAATTCAGAGAACCAGGGACAATGTGAAACACAACGTATACGAATTTTGTATGTGAACCAATATAAAATTTAAAAAATGTAAAAAAATTCAGTGAAAATGTCTAATTCCTATTCAAAATCAGATTCCATCAGATGCATAGATGTTAGGCTTTATCTTCCTAGGTTCTAAGTAACTATGACTGTATGCAAAGACCTCCACACTACCTGCTAAAATGGAGCTGATCTTTACCTGGCTGGATCATCCTAGCTCTCTCCAGGCCTCTGATGCACCTGATCATTTTCTCCTGTAACTCTGCTGGCAGTGTCACAGACAACCCTTGGGGGTATATAAGGTCAGAATCCATTCCTTCAGGCTCCAGCCACACCTGATGTACACGGTTTGGAAAACGCAAAACCTTCGATTCAATGGAGGGACAGTATCTAGAACAGGACATGGAAAAAAAAGAATGAAGCAAACAAACTATTGACATCATCATATCTTAATGTAACCGAGAATGGGTATTATGTCCTTACCGGGGTCCTCTTGTAGTTTCTTTAACGTGACTATTAAGGTGAAGGTTCTCAAGGACAATCTCATCCACTTTAGAATTGGTGTAAGTCAAGTAACATGGGAGCTGATCTTCTGGCTAGAAAATAGTAAGCACTCACAGTACTGTTTCCTCTACTGATTTGCCTCTTATTCAAATAAATTCTGCACACGATATACAGAAAATTTTACAGACTTTATACATAACATTTAGCATTATTTGTGAAGTAGTCTTGCTAAAACAATAAAAAAACCAAACCCAAATGTAATCATGTCTGTACTGTTGTTATGTGCTGTCAAGTCACTTGCGACTCACAGCAACCCGATATACAAGAGCCCTAAACCCTGCTCTATCCTGTGCCAACCTCACTGTCTCTGGCACACCTACCCCCATTACTCCAATCACTGAATTGATCCATCATCTTATTCAGGGTCTTCCTCTCTTGCGCTGTCTCTCCACCTTCCCAAACATGATGTCCCTCTCCAATGACTGGTCCCTTCTTGGAGCATGCCCAAAATATGTCAGACGAAGCTTCAGAATCCATGCCTCCAAAGAGCAGTCCAGTTTCACCCTCTCCAAGACAAACCTGTTTGTCCTCACAGCAGTCCATGGTATATTCAACACTCTTATCCGGCACCATAGCTCAAAATCATTCATTTTCGTTCTGTCATCCTTAGTCACTGTCCAGCTCTCTGATGCACAGCATACAACTGCGAACCCTATGGCCTGGATCAGGTGCACCTGTCTCCAGACTGGTGTCACTGTTCTTCAGTACTCAAGCTGACAGCTGACTTTCCCAATGCAATTTGTCTCTTGATTTCCTGGCTGCTGGTACCAAGGGTGTTGACTGTGGAACCAAGCAAACGAAAACTGTTAACAATCTCATTCTCTTTACCATCTATCATGATACTGCCAATTGGCCCAGTGGTGAGAATCTTTGTTTTCTTGATGTTGAGCTTCAAACCATATTGATGGCTGCAGTCCTTGACCTTCTGCAGAAAGTGCTTCAGGTCCTCCTCAGTTTCAGCAAGCAGGATTGTGTCATCTGCATAATGCAGCTTGTTAAATCTTCCTCTAATCCTCATGCCACATTCCTCCTCGCATAGCTCAGCATCCTGGATTATCTGTTCTGCATACAGATTGAAAAGGTATGGAGAAACATCTGTGGCAGACACCTTTCCCGATTTTGAACCATGAAGTGTTTCCTTCCTCTGTTCTGACGACTGCCTCTTGGTCCAAGTATAGGTTTTGCATAAGCACCATCAAACATTCTGGGATTCCCATTCTTTTCAGAGTTAGTCACAGTTTGTTGTGATCCACACAGTCAAAAGCCTTTGCATAGTCAATGAAGCACAGACAGACACTCCTCTGGTATTCTCTGCTTTCTGCCAAGATCCACATCTAACATTAGCTATAATATATATCCCTAGTAACACAACCTCTTCTAAACCCAGGCTGCACATCTGGCAGTTTTCTGTTGATGTGTTACTCCAGTCACTTTTCGATAATTTTCAGCAGAATCTTGCTTGCATCTGATATTAATGATATTGTTTGATAATTTCCACACTCTGTAGGGCTACCTTTCTTTGGAATGGGAACAAATATCTCATCCAGTCAGTTGTCCTCCCGATTTCTTGGCACAACTTAGTGCATCCAGGGCAGCAAGCATCTGTTTGCTGAAATATGTCAACTGGTATGCTGTCAATTCCTGGAGCCTTGTTTTTTTGCTAATTCTTTCAGAGCATCTTGAATTTCTTCCTTCATCACCACAGGCTCTTGTTCATACGCTGTTTCATTAAATTCTTTTGTGTCAGTCAATTCCTTCTGTTACAGTGACTCTGTATATTCCTTTCATCTTCTTTTAATGCTTCTTGGGTCAATTAACATTCTTCCCAAAGCATCCTTAAGTATTGCCACTTGTGGCTTGAATTTGTTTTCAATTTCTTCAGCTTAAGAAATGCTGAGTGAGTTCGGCCCTTTTGATTTTCTGATTTCAGCTCTTCACACATTTCATTACAATACCTTGCTTTGTCATCCTGAAATGCACTTTGAAATTTTCTGTTCAACTCTTTTATTTCTTGATTTCTTCCTTTAGCTTGTTTGTCCTAGAAGCAGTAACATGAAGTTGCTCCTTGAAGGCAAGGATTTTGAAGCTCTGTCTCAGATATTATGGGCATTTGGCAAGGAGGGACCACTCCCTGGAGAAAGACATCACGCTTGGAAGGGTGGAGGGACAGTGCGGAGAGGAAGACTCAAGATGAGATGGACTGACTCAGTTATGGGGGTTGTAGGGGTTCGTGTGTGATACTGGCTTAGGGACAGAACTACTGTACATAAGGTCACTATGAGTCTCAGGTGACTTGATAGCAACTAACAAGAACCACAACAACAGATCTTCTTACCAGTTTACAGGAAATAAGGAAATTTAGAGTATAAAGGAATATGTTTAAGATATCAGAGACATAAAACATGTTTACAATATAGAATATTCGAGAATAAGTGACTTAGTTATACATGTAAAGGTTAAAAATTTAAAAAGGAATTCATCTCTTATAATCTGGGCATTTTGCAAGAAGAAGCTATGCTCTGGAAAAGGACATCATACTTAGAAAGGAGGAAGGTCAGCGAAAGCGGTAAGATCTCCAGAAAGATGGACTGAAATGGTGACTGTAGCAATGGGCTCAAGCTTACCAGAGATGAGAATGATTGCACAGGACAGGACAGGTTTCAGGTCTGTTGTTCAGTCACTACGAGTTACACTGATTTGACTCAATGGCACCTAACAGCAACAACATAGATTAAAATACTTAAAAGGCCTATCATTAATGCAATGTTATTATTGCTAGGTGTCACTGAGATTAGTACGGCCCATAAGAACAGCCATTCTGAACCCTGCTCTGTCCTGTCCTGTGTCATCCTCATCATCTCTTGACACACTAGAGCCCACTGCACAAGTCACAGTGTCAATCCATCTCATTGGGGTCTTCCTATCCTTCACTGACCCTCCATCTTTCCAAGCAACATATATATTTTATTTGGCTCTTGGTTTAAGACAATTAGGAAAAATTGAAAATAAGTATTATATGATATTAAGTTATTGTGTTTTTTTGGGTGTAAATGATTTTGTATTATGATTGAATTTTTAAAAATTTCTCAGCAAATTTCTTAGGACTGTTTCTTTAAAAATTAAAGAATGTCAAGAAGTTATTTGTAAAGAACTTCAGTAAAGGGTGTACAGAGGTTCCTAATACTACTTTGTCCACTTCATGCAAACTTGAAAATTTATAATTAAAAAAAAGGTATACCTACACTAAGTTAGCAGCACTGAAAGTTGACATACTTTGAAAGCATCATCAAAGTCTGCATTTTACAAAGCTAAAGTGTAAAAGGAGTCTTCTCAAATTATAGACTATGTTGAGCCATTCTTCAGCATGAACTCAACAGAAACTAGGACACTTAATTATCAGCCCTCAGGTTTCTAAGGCTGCAAATTGGAGGAAACTGCCTATTTTTCTCCTGAGGAAAAGCCATCAAAAAAGTATGGCCGTTGGAACTTAACACAGACTATTCTACTAGAGTTCCTCATAATATAACATAACACACATATATACAATTTAAAGAAAGGCAAAGTGGCTTATACATTTAGAAAATGTCAGTATCATGAAAGACAAACAAAAACTGAGGAACAAAACCAGATTAAAAGAAATGAAAAAGTAATAACTATTAAATGCAATGTATAACATTAGACTGGGTGAGGGGAGAAAGTATCATATGGTGAACTCAGCAGCAGAATATTATGCCTCGTGTCACCTATTAGCTTCTGTGAGGATGTCGGACCTTTTGTTTCCATTCTCCTCACCTAAAGACAGATGGACATCCAAGCACTGAAGTGTCTAGACAGAAGAAAGCATTGCCATTTTTATGCCCCTCTTAGGAGTGAAGAATCTATTCCCTGAAATGCATCAGCAAATATATCTTTCTTCCTGGTGCATGACTGGAATTAGGCCACATCCTCATTCTTAAACCCAAGAAGGAGAAGACTGACCACGACAGCCTCCCACTCACCAAGGACTGCAAAACATCTAGCCCATCACTTCTGAGCACAAGGGCATCACAGCAAACAAAATTAACTTCCATTTGAAAGGAAGGAGGGACAGTTGTATTATCAGGAACTCTTAATCAGCTGAGATAATGGTTCAAAGAGGGGATGAAGATGTGAGGCTATTATCATCTGGTCGAGGTAGCCCTCTCTGTACACTCTAATGAACTCCAAAGACACCTGAGTATGAGCATGCAGTGGGGATCTTGAGGGGTTTGAGAGATGCCTTTGGCAAGAAACGTAAAACTTTTGAGTTAATAAGCATAGTCCTATATACATAGGGTTTTCAAAGTCCTGTTATTTCGGAAGTGAATGGCCAATTCTTATTCCTAGTCTGTCTTAATTTGAATGCTCAGATTTAGAACAGTATCTGACAGACAAGCATTTTACAAAAAAGAGCATATGACATATGAAAGACATTTCCCCAATTACAGATTGCTGATGAATCTTCCACCAATCCTGATGCCACATTTCTTCTGATACAGTCCAGCCTCCTGGATAATCTGTTCTGCATATAGGTTGAAAAGGTATGGATAAGACACATTCGTGGCGTACACCCTTTCCAATTTTGAACCATGCAGCATTTCCTTGCTCTGTTCTGAAGACTGCCTCCTGATCCAAGTATAGGTTTTACATTTATTAGCACAATCAAATGTTCTGGGACTCCCATTCTTCTCTGAGTCAGCCACAGTTTGTTATTATAAAAGAAAATTAATTAAAAGTTGATGAAGGATTTATAAGGAGCTCTGGCGGCTTAGTATGCAGTGAGTTTCACTGGTAACTTAAAGATTCTAGCCGACCAGCTAGGCCACAGGAGGAACACAGGCGGTCTCCTCCTGTGAAGATTTACCGCCTTGAAAATCCTCTGAGGTCTGCTAAAAGTCAGAGAATGGGTATTATATTATTATATTATACTGGGTATTAGATTTTTATCTGTGTTAAATTTTCTGAATTTGATCATCGCACTAAGGTTAGGAAAGAGGATTTTTGTACATACTTGAGATACAAGATTATGGTCTCTTATTCTCAGATAGCTCAGAAAAAAGAATAAGACTAAATATGTGTCACTATATATTAAATATACATGTTTGTTTGTATCTATGTATACAGATAAAGAAACATGGTCAAATAGTAACAGTAGGTGAATATTATTAAAGATTTACAGGAATTTGTTTTAATAGTCTTACAACTTTGAAAAGCTTAATTAGAAAACAGGCAATTCAATGTGGTGAAGTTAAGTGCATAGAGGTGAACACATTAAATACCATTCAACTGTGTTTTACTTTATATAGTTGACTTGCACGGTATGTACATTTTTATATCAATTGTATATAAATAAAGCTGTTAAAAATAGGCAAAGATAATCGCAAGGAAATTTTAAAATTTATGGAGAAACATCTACCCCCCATCCCTCCAATTAACTAAATATTTTTCTAATTCTGTAAAGTACACCTGATTTAGGCCATGGTCTTTTCAATTACTTGCTATGTACCTGAGAGCTAGACAACAAATAAGGCTGACAGAAGAACAACTGATCACTTTGACTTGTGGAGCTGGAGCAGAGTACTGAGTATCACAAGGATGGCCAAAAGAACGAGGCATCACTTGGAAAAGGTGCAGCTGGAATGCTCCTTGGAGGCAAGAATGACAAAGCTTCATCTCTCATACTACGGACATGTTGCTAGGAGAGGCTATTCCTTGGTAAAGGATCTCATGCTAAAAAGGGTAGAGGGTCAGTGAAAGAGAGGAAGACCCTCATCAAGATGGATGGACATAGTGATGCCAGCAATGGGCTCAAGTGCATCAGAGAAAGTACGGATGACACAGGATTCAGGTCTGTTGCTCACAGGGCTGCTATGAATTGTACTCAACAGCACTTAACAACAAGAAGAAAAGCTCTGGTGGCTTAGTGGTAAGGAGCTACACTGCCAACACAAAGGCCTGCAGTTTGAATCTACTAGGATTCAAACCTCAGGCATTCTGCTCCTCAAAAGAAAGATGGGAAATCTCCTCCCAAGTGATTAAATGCCTCTGAAAACCCACGGTGGGCAGTCCACTATGAGTTGGTTCTGTTTAATGGTACAAAATAACAACAGTACCATAAAGCAAAAGAAAGTTGGGACAATCTCCTCCCACATGATTTACAGCCTCAAAAATCCAATGGAGAGTCACTATGAGTGGGTTCCAACTCAATGGCAATGAACAAAGGAGTCATATTTTACACTCTAAACAATTTTAACAACAAAAAAGACTTTGGTTATCTCCTGCTGTGAACAGCCAATATTAGTTGTAAACCACCTTATTCATAAACCACCTTACCTTAATCCACACTGTCTCATTGAGGAAACTGAATGGTACAGATGGATTATCTGGCATCTGGTTATTTAGAATGCTGAAATTAATGGAATCTTTTGCAATTCGGGGTGGAGTTCCAGTCTTCAACCTTCCAACTACAAACCCCAATTTCTCCAGAGTCTGAGCCAATCCTATAGAAGGCTGATCCCCTAAACGTCCTGCTGAATTCATCTCCAATCCAATTATGATCATGCCTCTCAGAAATGTTCCAGTAGTCAGGATGACACTCTCGGCATACACTGTGCTCCCATCAACTAAATAAAAGGAAAAAGGGTAAGATCAACACTATGTGCTGTACTGCTAACATGGATCATATTAGCACATGACTATTTTACATTAAAACCACATAAAACTGTCAGTGTTTAGAAACCTGAGCATGAATTTTAAATGAATAAGAAAGTTTTAAAGTTTTATGTCATCAATCTCAGAAGTCTAATAGGTTAAGCTGAATGTGTTATCATAGACTACTGTTCCTAATTTGGAAGCAGGAGTGGCATCCACTTTCTAACAATATGCCTCTGGAAACTATAAATTTTGAGAAGCGATGATAGTTATAGAAAGACTTCAAGTCTTTTGTTCATGGGGTTGCTATGAGTTGTGTTCCACTCGATGGCAATCAACAATAACAACATTCCTAAAATCATATCAGCACTGAGATATCTTAGATATTTTAAAAATGGATTCATTTTAGACTTTTGGTAAATACAACAGACTATCTCACATGATTTCTCATCACTCCTGAAACTTTAAGAAAATGAAAAAACATAAACCCACTGAACAACAGACAAGAGCCTGTCAAAAGATGGAAAATTTCAATATATTTGCAGAACACAGAAAGTGGTCTGAAAAGTATGAACTGACCTAGAAAAGAAAAGCCAATAACCCAAGTTTCTGAAGAGAAAGTATCAATGAGAATAAACTAATTTGTCCTGTAGAAACTCAGAAATTGGAGGTACCAAAAACTGAGGAATGTAGGAATGAAGCTCAAAGGAGCTCAAAAAAAAAAAAAGGTTGAAATCCATGTTTAACAGTTTTGCAGAGGTATGGTCTTCAGAGAATTTAAACCTTATATGTTCTAGATTCAGAGATGCTGAGCAAAAACCAAGACCATGAAAAAGGACACAAATATGCATGTTATACAGTATTAATGCCAAAATGCTACAGCTGAACCTGAATTTTGACATAAAGATACAAATGAAAAGAGAAACAAGCTTTATTTAATTTCCTTTATCCAGGAAGAAAAAAAACATAAGAATTTGCTCAAATAAGCAAAACATCTTCATAATTCATTCTAAAAGAAATCCAAGTTACAGGGTCTCACTTGTTATTATCATTGTCTATAACCTGTACGTACCCAAGATAACTCCATTAACACGGCATTTCCCAATGTGTTCCGGCTCTGGTTCTGTAAGAAGAAGATCTTCCACAGCTCCCTCTTGAACAGTAAGCAGTGGTGTATTCAAGATTTCTTTCTATTAAATGAGCATATACATTGAAAAATAGCAGTAAAACATCGCATTGTGTCACCACAATCTTTTTTGTCCTCATGCACTATTCTTACCTGCATGTTCTGTTTATAAAGCTTCCTATCAATTTGAGCTCGTAGGCCCCACACAGCTGGTCCCTTACGCCGGTTTAATACTTTGTAATGTACCCCAGACTTGTCACAGATGCGGGAACACAGGCCATCCAAAGCATCTACTTCCCTCATTAAATGCCCCTTTCCGATGCCCCCAAAAGAAGGATTACAGGACATCTGGCCTAAAGAGAACATAAACAAAGGAATAAATTTATGAACATCTTCCATATTTTAGGTGTTTGGTAAGGAAATGTCTGTTGGGTTCTAAAATAGCCTCATATGATAAAAACAGAAAGACGGAACGCACATTAAAGAGAAAAATCTCAATTTCCCAATGGGATGGAAGAGTTATTCAGTGCACCCCGGAAGACAAGTTGCTGCCTGTATTTTCTTTTGAATCATTTATTTTTAAATTTTTTTTATTTTTTGTGTTATTATTATTAATTTTAATGAAAATTTACAGAGACTTGGGATTTCCATTCACTCATTGTTGTACTTTCTCCCTGCCTACTCCCACGCCCCTCAGTTCACTCTTCTCTTTGATAAGAAAAAGAAAAATTCTTTCATTGTTATACAATCTCTCCCCGCAAGTCCACTCCACCATGCAGCCTTCGTTCTGGACTCCTGTCATGACAATACCTAATCATATATCCCTTTTAAACAATTCTCTCCCTTGCCTGTTTCAATGCCGTATACATAATTTATCCCATCTTTCTCAGTCTCCCCCCAATCCCAGCGTCAGTCCCGTTTTACAACAGTGACATTATGCAGTAGTTGTCCTTTTGTGACTGAGCTATTTCACTCAGCACAATGTCCTCCAGGGTCACCCATTTTGTATAATAATTTGTGAGTTCCTTGTTTTTCAATGCAGCATAGTACTGAATAATTTTCTTAATGTTTCATTAGGTTTACCCTCTCCTATAAATGGGGTTTAGAATCTTTTTCTCTCATGAAACTTTCCCTAATTAAGCACACTTATTAAGAAGCCTCCTGATACAGGTTCAATTATATGGTCTTGCACATAACTATCTGATGTTTTCTTTTTGCAAATGTCTTTTAAAAGATAAACATTATTTTACACGTTCCATTAAAATGTTCTCACTTATTTGGGAAGTAGAGGGGTGGGAAAAGTTGGGTCAAGAGCTATATGTCCAATGTAACCATTGTCAAGGCCTTTAAAAGTTTTTACAGTCACCAGGGGGAGGATGGGTAGTGCTAGGATAATGAGGACAGTTCACGAGAATAAAAAAAAAAAAAAAAGAGATGGTGGCTCCACCGCTAAATCTACCACATATTAACTCTGTGTTTATGGAAAGTTATCAAGACAGCTTTAGTATCCCCGTGTCTCCCTCCTTTGAAAAAGATTCAGTCTTACTTAGGTAAAGGGAGCTCTGATGGCTTACTGGTAAGGAACTGTGCTACCTATACAAAGGCATATTTGTTTAAATCCACCAGCTGCCCTGTGGGGGAAAGAAGGACAATCAATTCTTGTGTAATTAATTTACTGCTTCTGAAAACCAGCTGAAGGGTCAGCTATGGGTTGGTTCTGATTCTACAGTATACAACAGCCAGAACTTAGTATAAAGCAGGTCTGATATGGGAGGTTAGGAGAACAGGATAAGAATGGATAAAGACCACTGCACTGGAACATATGGAGGAAAGAACTGTCTAAAAGGAATATATGGTTAGGTATTATTCCAATTATTTTGGACCAATAAAGATTTATTCCTAATCTGCATTAGAGTTACACTCCTTGAGCACAGTTTCAAAGAGAAAGTGTTTCCCTAAGTTAGGGCTTTGTTTTTGTTCAACAGCGCAGAGTAAGAGGTGTATCACTGCAAAGACTGGGGCAAGAGTGGGGGTGGGGGAGTAGGTAATTGTGTAACAATGAATGAATATGAAAAAAAGTGGACTGGGGAGGGAGAAGGGACAGGGAGAAATGTGCAATGAATGAAATGAAGAAGGAAAGTCTAAATTTTCTATAAACGTTTGTTAAAATCACAATTAAAATAAAAGTTTTTAACCAAAATTTAAAAAAAAAACCAACCCAACAACTTAGGTAAACACCTTCTCTTATCCCTTTAGAGCAGTGAGAGAAGATCTTCACCCTGAAACCCACAGCATCCCTTTTCAGCAGGAAGTAGCTAAGAGAATAAGCCATCCCCTTTTCCTTATGACTCAGGGTGAAGTCTCTCTCAGGGAGGAGTGATAGGGAATGGCAAGGGACACACTGACAAAGAAGATTAATCAG